TGGTGTTTGTGCCGGTCAGTAGACTCTCCGACCGCCGGCACTCTCCCATTCCGTGACACAACCTATAGTTGCGATGATAATTGTTTATCGTATATATACTGTAGAAATCGTTTAAAATATCCAAAACCTTCAATCAGTAGATTATTTTTGTTTTCATAAAAAATAATATTTTGTGATTTGATTTGAAACCCCGATCAAAAATCCCACACAATTTTGTCCGTGTTTTTTAATAACCCGTTTGTTATGTTATTCCTGATGAATGAAACACTTATTTATTAAACATTGAATTAAAGCCAAATTTAAATACAGTATATTTTATCCACAATTAAAATTATTTACATTTTAATAAAACATTTTGCCCTTTTTTTGCTTGCATCTAGATCAATTTGTCAATTGCATCAACTCATTCACTGTGGACGCGAGCGCAGTAGACAAGGCAGGGGACGGTACGGTTGAGCCGACCATTACGGGCCCGTCGGGCAAGAAAGTCAACTCTCACGTCAAGAATAATAACGACGGCACGTATAAAGTGAACTACATTTTACCCGACGAGGGTATGTCTGTGCCATCAAAATCAAACATAATTCATAAATAAAGTTTTGATTGTATATTTTAAGGTGAATACAAATTTGACGTGAAGTTTGATGGCTCACCCATACCGGGCGCCTCTCCCGTAGCCGTGAAGGCCACACATGGAGCCGATCCTAAGCGCGTCAAAGTGTACGGACCGGGCATTGAGAAGGGATTCCTTAACCAACCAAATCAGTTCACTATTGAGACAATTAATGCCGGCAACGGAGGCATTGGGCTGTCGGTTGAGGGACCCACCGAAGCAAAGGTCACCTGTCGTGACAATAGGGACGGCACATGTCTTGTCGAGTATATACCCAATGAGGGAGGCGTCTATGATGTGGCCATTAAATTTGCCGATGAAAATGTGCCAGGTTTGTTTTAGTTACCACAACTCTTGTCTACACTTTTTCCATTATTAATTGTGTCAAACCCTTACAGGAAGTGTATTCAAAGTGCCGGTACAGAGCGAAGTGGACGCCACCAAAGTGACGGCTACCGGTGCGGGCGTTGACCCAAACAATTGTCGTGCGGCCGCATCACTGCCTTTCAAAGTGAACGCCAAACGCTCGGCCAAAGCGCCGCTCGCCGTAGAGGTCATCTCAGATAAGGGACCCATCGCTCAGAAGCCAGAGATTGTGGATAACAAAGACGGCACGTATGACGTGTTGTACGTCCCGCCGCCCGAAGGCAGCAAATGCGATGTCAAAGTGACGTATGGGGGCAAAGATATTCAGGGCAGGTATGTGTTGTCGCAGGGGGTGGGCGTCAGTGGTATCAAAATTGCTATATATGTTAAAACAATTAATGCCTTTTCTCTTCAATTGTCAGTCCATTTAAAATGAAAGTGAAGAAGAAGTCTGAGCCGAAGAATGTAAAGCTTTCGGGTCCGGGACTGGACAAGAAGGTGACGGCGAGTTTGTCCCA